CATCAATCATGTTCTCCCAACCAATGTCCTGTCTGTGTCAGAGACAGAATATTGGATCGAATGGATAATTGGGCTGGCCCAGGGTGGCATATCTCACCTAGAGTTATAGTGACAGGATGACATGTTGAATGGAGAATCGTAAATATCGGGAATGCCTGGAGAAGGGATTCTTAATGAAAATGCTTGCCGGGTTGGACGTGCTGTAACATTCTGCCCCCATCTCTACCTCTGTTCATGTCCAGGCCGATAAAGGTATCTCACCAGGTATGTTTTATTGTGTTTAGTTTTTCTCATCTTTTGACTTAAGACCAGTTCTAGCGAGGCGGCTCAGTCAGGGCTTGGTGGCTCCATGGGAGATCTCTGACTTCCTGGAACCACTGCAAGGAAGCAGATGGACACTCAATGCCCTTTGTCCGCAGCATTCTCTCCTTCATCTGGAATGTTCTTTCGTCCTGTCCCAGCGCCTCTTTCTTCCCATGTGGTGGATTCCCACTTGATCTTCAGAACCTAACTCAGCTGTCGCTTCGGTTCAGGGAAGCATCTCCCCATCTTTTCCCTTTTCCAAGCAGGCCTGGTTTCTTCCCCAGTTTGTTTACACCTGTATCCTGTGGCTCTGGCTGTGGGAGAATTGTGGGTTGTTATGTGTATGATGATCGTGTTCCCTTGGGAGCTTTTGGATTTGGGGGACCATGTCATTCTCATCTCTGATCACGTCTTCTGTTGAATATTGAGTTACAGTTTCCTGTTGTCACATGAAGTTAGCCATGCAGGAAGAGAGTATTTGGAGGTAGGTTCGCTGTTAAAAATCCTCCTGCTTTTATACTAGATCTTCTGATCCTTTTCTTGATGTAAAATGACCTATACAATTTCTTTTCTTGCTCTCTTTTTATTAGATTGTATCTACTGTATTTTGAACCTGTATACACATTCAATTAACATTATACTTAAAACATTAATTTGTACTTAGCTGTTTTAAGACAGATTGGTGTTTTGTGAAAGCCGTTGACACACAACACAGGCAAGTGCTCACGGGCCCATTGTGTATTTTCACTAGGGAATCCTCATCCACTTTATTTTACCCCCCAGCTTGTTTTAAATGATAAAAATACTGACAGTGTTCATTATTTTTAGTAGATAACCCTTGAGTAACTACTTAGCATAGAGGAAGGTAAATCCTGATTTTCCCCAAGTTGTAGTTGCAAAGATTATTTTTCTGGTGAGACTGTTAATCAGGGAAGAGCCTTTTTCCCCCCTTAGTCACCTAACATCAGGGTCAAAGGATATTGGACTGTTACTCTTTGCAAACTGATCAGAACCTCATTGAAGAAGATTCGGTCTTGTCTTTGGTTGTGTGAGTCAGGGCTGCTGCTTCAGGACCACCTGGTTTTGGTTGGACATGGAGATGAGCTGTACCTCCCTTAGTTTGTTAGCTGGGTTTCTAAATTTGAACTGTCCCCTGGAGGGCAGGTGGCAACCATAGCTGAGTGAGATGCAGCAGAGTCTCTGGGACATGGGCCATACCACTTAGGGAAGTGTTCACATGGTGTGTGCAGGCGTTGGTGCTGAGCCTAAGGTGTGGTAGGAGAGGCCACCCACCCTGTGAACCAGGCTGGCAGTTCTTCTGAGTCCTCCTTCTGCTGGTCTTTGTTAGCTTTAAATTACTCATAATTTTTGGTAAAGGGTTAGTGATATCCTGTGTAAACTTGCCAATGAACCTAACATGGAACAGAAAGTTAGAAGAAAGCAGCTTTTGTTCAAAAGTTCATCACAGTGCAGAAAGCACATAAAGGCAATCATGGTCAATTTTTTAAAATATATTTTAAATTGAGCCAAGAAGGCCTGGAGGTATTATTAGAAACTACTTTCTGAGGACATCTTTGCTTTTCTGCATGATATTAAGCTTTCATGAATGGAGTAGGTAACTTTTTTTCCCCAAATGGGAGAAAATACAGTGAAAAAATTTGAACAAGGAATTATTTATGTGCTACTTCATATTTCATTTCCAACTTGAATGCTTAAGATTCCTATCCTTCTGGGTAACCTGGAGTTGTTGAGACTCCAAGTAATCGACTGCTCATGAAATTACCATGCAGACCTCAACTTACTGTTCTTATGAACAGTTGCCAGACAACATGCTCTCTTAGCAGTGGCTAAAATTGTACATTTTAGAAAGTTCTTTGTGAGAGCAGGAGTCATTTTATGTGCTACTTTCACTGTCAGGAGACACAATCAATAAGCTAGCTTGGCAGATCTTCACCATTCATTCATTCATTCAGCAACTTTTATTGAGTGCTTGCTGTGTGCCAGGCATGTCAATGTGTCAGTCACAGATTTTTATGCTGGGTGTGGGTGCAGGGGCAGAGTGGACCAGCTGGTAAACAGTGGACATAGGAAGTAAACATTCTGTGTGTGTTCCATGTGTTAAAAGGTTATGAATTCTCTGGAAAAACAGAATGTAGATCAGGGTAAGGGGGGACATGGGTGGGAGGCTTGCGGTTTCAATATAAGGTGGTCAGGGAGGACCTTGCTGAGAGAATGAATAGGCAAAGACTCGGAGAGGAGAAGGAAGTTACCACCGAGGACGCTTGGGGAGGCGAGCGCTGGGCAGAGGGAGCTGCCATGCAGGGCAGTCGCCCGTAGCCAAGGAAGTGACTGGAGGGTTTGGGAACTAGCAGGGAGCCTTGTGGCTGTGGGAGGGCAGGGAGGGCAGGAGGAAGAGCATGGGTTGAAGTCAGAGGGGCAAAGGCGGGTCGGGTCATTCCTGTTGACCTGAAACCCCTCCCTCTGCAGGACATCCACTCACCAGGGGCTGCTCAGGAACAACACCTGATATGTCTTTCTCTTTTACAGCAGTTCTCAACTGGGGACACGTGGCAATGACTGGAGTTACGACAATTTTTTGTTGTCATAACTTGAGGAGAGGGTGGGTGCTCTTGATATAGCTCATCAGCTGTTGATGGATTTAGTTTGTCTTTGAAGACTTTATAAAAGAAAAACATTAAAACGTCCTGGGAAGAGGTTATTAATCACGGTTTCTGGCCATAAGGCCTTCACAATTGCCTTAAAGGTAATGCTGGCTCTGGTTACTCACTTTGTGGGCAGCAGACCCAAATCTCACTTGCATGTCCATTTTAGTAAACTCTGTTGCTTTTATGGGTAGTTCAAAAGACCCAATACACTGTTTCCAGGTAAATAATAATAATATTATGGATAATCTTATGAATGTGACTCACGGAGGATTTTCTCATTTTGAAAGGGGCTAGGATGGTGAGTCATACGAGAAAATGTCTACTTGTATATTAAAAAAGCTTGATTTTCAGTACTTGGAATAAAAGGCACTGTCGTTCTCAGAGGAACGTGCTGTTGTTGATGGGAATGTTTTCTTGGATTCCGCGAATGCAGTTTTTCAGACGCCAGTCGTTTGTGTCCTGCTAGTCTTATTTCTGCATTATGTGTACACCGCATGTCTTTTTCTCATGTCAGATAATTTTTTTATTTAAACACATTTTAGAAGACTTGTATCAGTTGTTCAGTGTGAAACTTCACCAAAATATAAGACAAAACAATTGTCTTAAAGTAAAACAATTAAAATCAAGCAGACCAAGTTGCTTACTAAGATTCCAAACCTGAGACCTGCTCTGTTCGGAAGGGAGATGCACTAGTGTCCAGGAAGTGCTCACACGCCTGTGGCAAGAGCAAGCTTCCTCTGATTCGGTCAGAATGAGCCAGGGATAATTTTCCCACTGTGTGATTTAGTGACATTGAATGGACCTTCTATGTGCCACACATGGAGATATCCTGTCCCAAGCTGTCCATCCTCAGAGGCCAGGTGACGGGCTATGGATTTGCAGCCTGGCTGGCTGAAGACTGAGCCAGAGTCTGAGAGTGTGGAACCTCCCAGGAATAGCAGGGAGGCTGGATCTCTTTGGCTCTGGAGGGGACTAAAACTGCAATTCCATTTCTTAAAATAAAACAAATACCCTTAATTCAGATTTCTTACTATTTCAGATGAATTTTATATCTCTTTCCTCTCTGCCCCTCCTTCCATATGTAATATGTATTGCCAAAATTTAATTCTATATTCATTGTTAGGATGATTGAATATTTTTGAATAAGTCATGTACTTTATATTGAATGTTAGAATTCATTATTTTATTTTAGCAGTTATATTATAGTCTTTGACCTGCCTTCTCTCTTTTCTGAAGCTAAGATCTCTCATTTTTTGCAAGCAGAACTGAATGAATTAATGTCTTGGCTGCTTTATAACTCACGTGGGTGCAGCTGCAGGTAGCTTTAGGCTACTGCTGCACCTCATTTTTGTGGAAACTAGATTTTCTCAGCTTTCTCAGGGGCTGCTAGACTCTCATGAATTGAATCCTGGTAATCAAAGTCTCAGGAGACTGATTTCTATAGAAACCAGTATTTATTAAGTGTCTGCTGTGTTCCAGGCTCTATATGACACAGTCCCAGGGTTTAAAGGGCCTCTGAGTTTAGCTGCAGAGACGGAAACAGCCTACGTGGAGTTAATAATGCGCCACTTTATGTAAAATGCTGAAACCTGACAACTGTGTAGTTCCCATCGTTCCCCTCCTATTTTGTGTTATAATTTTTATTATATAGTACATCTGCATAGGTTATAAATGCCACAATAGGAAGTTATAATTTCCGCTTTGTATTACTGTAAGCCATCATATATGTTTTGAGGAAATTAAGAGGAAAAATAGTTTTAAAAAATTTACCCACATATTTGCCATTTCTAATGCTTTTGATTTCTTTTGAAGACAACATTTCCAAATGGTATGATTCCTTTTCATCCTGCAGAACTTCTTTTAGCATTTCTGTAGTGTATGTACATTGACTGGCTGTGTTTAAAGGGTGTATTAAAAATAAATACTTTAAATTTATATAGTGTCATTAGCCAATGTTACCTTAATAAAAATAAACAGATAAATCAAAATGTTTAAAAATTCAAAAAAAATTTTTAGGTGGTGTTTTTTGTTTTTTTTAAATTGACGTTTTTATTTCATCTTCATTTGGGAAGGATATTTCCCTGGATATGAAGTTGTGGATTGACAGTTTTTTCTTTCAGTCCTTTAAAGATATGTTTCCAAGGACTTCTGCCTCCATTGTTTCTGGTGAGTAGTACAGAGATCATGTGAATCATTACTCCTCATATGTAATGGTTATTTTTCTCTGCTGCTTTCAAGATTATCATCTTTGGTTATCAGCAGTTTGACTAGGATGTGTCCAAGTGTGGTTTTCTGTGTGTTTATCTTCTTGGGGTTTGCTGAGATCCTTCTGTACATTTATTTCTTTCACCAAATTTGGGGAGTTTGGGGGCATTATTTTATCATCTCCATTCTGTTATGTTCATGCAATGAATTTTTGAGTTTCAGATATTATTTCCATTTTAGAATTTTTATTTGATGTCTTTTTATAGTTAACATTTATTTGCTGAGATTCCTTATCTTTTCACTCATTATAGGCATAGTTTTCCTTTACACCATAAGCATTTTGTAATAGTGATTTTATTTTTTAATCCTCACCTGAGGATATTTTTTCCATTGCTTTTCAGATAGAGAGGGAGGGAGGGAAGGAGGAAGGGAGGGAGGGAGACATCGATGTGAGAGAGATATATCGATTGGTTGCCTCTGCATGTGTCCCAACCAGGGTCAGGGATCAAGCCTGCAACTGGAGGTATGTACCCTTGGCCGGAATTGAGCCTGGGACCCTTCAGTCCCCAGGACAATGCTCTAACCACTGAGTCAAATGGGCCAGGGTTGTAATAGTTGCTTTGAAATCCTTGTCTGAAATTCCAACATTTGGGTCCTTTTAGAGTCAATCTGTTTTGATTTTTTTTCTATTTTAGCCAGTTCATGTTTTCCTATTTTTTTGTTTATTGAGTAATTTTGGATTGTAACCTGGATATTGTGAATATTATATGCTATAAAATCTCTGAAATTTGTTATATGCATTAAAAAGTATTGATTTCTTTGTTTTGTTTTATTTTAGTAGGCACTTAAATTGAGGTTAAATTGTTACCCCTGTCTCTCCTCTAGTGGATAGTATCCCAAATCTCATTCCAGTTCTCTTAGCTATGCTGTGGAGTTTGCCACACAAATTAGTGATTTGGGGGCCAAGACAGAGTTTGGGCCGAGTTTAATACAGAGGCATCCTCTCTCTGATGTTTTTCTTTCCAAGAGTCCTGCCTTCCCCCCCTTCCCCACACGTACACTTCTTTCTAGTGGTTGTGATCGCTCTGAACACTGGAGATAGAAACATAAACAGTATCAGTAATATAATGTGCTCAGTGATTTAATTATAATGCTGGAAGCTGATAGTTTCGGAGTGCTTATGTGTGTCAGCTGCTTTATAACTATGTCTGTGTGATGTCTGTCTAATGTAGTTTAATCTGCACTACAGCAATCATCCGAGGTAGGCATCCCTTTTAAGGTGAGAAAACAAGAGTCAGAGATTTATCAAATTAACATACCTTATGAGAGTCAGAGCTGGATCTCACAATCAGGAGTTTTGACTCAAGATCCCACACTCCTACTGATTATTTTTTTGCCTCTAACATCTTGTGAGAGATCTGGGATATAACCTTTAATTTTTCTCTGTTTTCATTAGATGCTTTTTTTTTTTTTTTTTTTTTTTTCATTGGTGTTCTACAGTCTAAGTATGGATTTATTAATCATTCCATTCAGGATTTGTAATTCTTCAGATTGAATCTTCATCTTTTTTCCCATTCTGGAAAATTGTTAGCCATTCTCTCTTTGAATATTGCTTCTCCCACTTACCTCCAGTTCCTCCTTCTGTAACTCCTGCTGGATTTATTTTAGACCTTACTGCTCCATTCTTCACGTGCCTTGGTTTCTGCTGAGTGCTTTCCAACTCTATTTCTCCGTGCAGTGTTCTGGGCGATCTGTCAGATCAGTCTTCCAGCTCACTGACTCCTCTTGAGCTGTGTCTAAACTGCTATTTAAGCCAGCTACTGAATTTTTAATTAAATTGTTTCTATTTTTCATTTCTACTTGGTTCTTTCTCAAATGTGCATGTTCCTCCCACCCCTCACTCTCTTCTTTTTCATTATGACATCTATTTTTTAATCTTATTCATTCTGTGTGTAATTATTTGCTAGTCCATTTCGGGTTTTTCTAATATTTCTAATCTTGGGGTGCAAATTCTTGCTTGTTGTGTCTGCCAACTCTTCTTCTTGATGGCTTGTGACCATGTATAGTTTGAAAATTTTTATTCCCCACTTATTTTCAGCAGGGACTGTTTCATGAAATTGCATGGTTATTGGATTGCGACAGCCTCTTTAGATAGCTTTTTTCTGTTACTGCTGGGATGTCTGAAATTGGAGTAAATATGGACAGTGACCCTCTAGGTCAGTGTGGGGCTCCTGCACTTTGCAGGTAGTGTAAATCTGGACTCTGCAGTCATAGGTCATGCAGGCCTGTGTTTTGATTTTTCAAGAGTGACTACCCCTCCTCCCACTTCTGTCATAACAGAAGGCCTGTTACCACAACTGTTTTATCCTGCATGAACTTACTTTCCCAACATCCTGATGGGGTAAGGGTGAGCTTTCATATTCAGCCTCCATAGGACAATGTGGACGTGCAGAGATATTAAGTCACTTCTCTGGTCTCACAGCTGGTGCGTAGTAGTTGGGGAATTTGTTCCAATCCAGTGCCCATGGGCTCAGCTGCCCTGCTCCATTGGATGGAAGGAGGTGCCTGCCCTCAGCTGGGGGCGGTGAAGGGAAACCCAGGCTTTAGGAGGAAGAGTCTGTGTGACCAGTGGCTCATTGTTGGCCAGAGCGAGTTGGGGAAGCCTACAGACATCCACGTGGAGGGTCTGGTTGGGTGTTGCCAGGCCAGAGGTGTGGGTCCATGGGCATTGAGCCACAGGGTGGGTGAAGCTGTATGACAGGCACATTTATGACAAGACAAGACATGGGATGGGCTCTTTGTCAGACTCTTGATAAGGGGTCAAACTTACTGTTTTTCTTTTGACCATTTTAAACCTGTTTGCATAGAACTCCATGGTCATTTTCATTTGGTCACTTGCTTCCGAGTTCCCTGGTAGAGGAGATGTCCCATCCACGATGAGAGGTGACTCCAGTGTCAGACCGATGGCACTAGAAGGGCATTCTGTTTTCCTCATGACTCGGGTCTTATCACCTTCTCCTGGATGATGAACCTGCTCCCTTCTTTTAGGTCAGGGATGCGGAACCTTTTTTCTGCCAAGGGCCATTTGGATATTTATAACATCATTCGAGGGCCATACAAAATTATCAACTTAAAAATTAGCTATGAAAAAAGCTCCTAATTTATTGAATTTCGAGTCCTGCCTGCGATTGCCTTGACAGCCAGACCAAATGATTGCTCGGGCCGGATGTTCCCCACCCATGTTTTAGGTGATGGTCAGGTTTGCAGTCCTCAGAGGCTTCAGCCGGAGAAGGCTGTGAAGTGCAAAGTAGGCTGCAAGGCCGTGCCTCTGCCCAGGTGTGACTTGTCTCAGTCGAAGCACACTTAGGAGTGTGTTTTTCCCCTCTTCCCCTTCAGATGGATTTGAAGACTATGGTCCAGACTGTGACAGCATGAGGGTGACAGCCTTCTTGGACATCCCAGGCCAGGATCACCTGCCTCCCCTCACTCGCCTGGAGAAGTACGCGTTCAGCGATAACGTCTTCAACCGGTAAGCTCTAGCTGTCCTGTGCACGTTCACACCCCTGTGCACGTTCACACCCCTTGTTGTGTCTGGTTTAACCTGACAGTGATGGCCGCTGCTCTGTGACAGCTTTGAGGGGACTCATGGATGAGGTGGCCTGCGGGCTGTCTCCAGCATGCTGGGGTTCTGTCTGAACCCCAGCATCCATTGTATTGGGTTTTTCTGTTATTCTTGTTACCATTTTACTGACCACCTGGTAAGCCAGGAAGGGAGTGTGGCTAGGATGTCATGGTGTTTAGATAATGGGAATTGTAACTGGGTTTCTTTCTCATGTGCACTACTTGGAAAGGTAGTGTGTTTTGGTGACTGGGACACACCCCTTGGAGCCTTGCTGGCTCATTCTATTTGTTGACCGTGTTTCAGGGACACTCCTGCAGCTTGTCCTGCCCCATCTAATGTCATCCCTTGTGGTGCTGGCAGGAATCTACTCCAGGCTCAGATGACCTTGACTCTTGTTTCAGGAAGAAAGTAGAAGCTAAGGCGTGTCTTCCAGTTTAGGGTCTGCTCCCACATGAATCTGAAAGCATTCTTCCCTCCTTTCTCAGGGAGAGTGTCTCTTTTTGTCCACTCCCTCCATCAGATATGCCTCTGTCTGTGTCTTCCTTTTCACCCAGTACAGCCCCTTTCCCTCCACTTACAGGCCATTTCATGTCTCTCGTCTGGACTTCTCTACCTGTGGCCTTCCTTCATGCCTTCCCCTAAGGACACCATTCTTCTGTAAAGACTAGATGCCACTCAGAATCTCTTTTCTTACCTTCCATTCACTCTTACTTTAAAAATTATATTCTATGTCTTTTCATCTATTAAGTCATCACAGGCTCCCAGAAATTGCTCCTGAATGAGTCCAGTTATTATCCCAATTTTGCAGATCGGAAAATGATGGTACTCTGAACGGCGTCTTTTGATGAGCAATTCTTAATTTAAATGTAGTTCACGATCTAGCCATTTTTTCTTTATACTTAGTGCTTTTCATGTCATGTATCAGAAACATTTGCCTCCCCCAAGGCCACCAAGATATTTTCTTATATTGCTTTCTTGAAGTTTTATTTGTTTTACCTTCCACCTACAGATCTGTGGTCCACGTGGAATTGCTCTGTGTTTGCGTGTGATGTGAGGTAGCAATCGGGTTTCATTTCCTTCTGTGCGGTAGCCAGTGGACCCAGTGCCATTTATGGAAAATACTACCTCTTATCTGAGCTCTGCATTGCCACCTTTGTCTTAAATCAGGTGTCCATTTCTATTATTAGAGTACCTTTGGTTTTCTCACCGTCGTGAGCAGTCTGTGTCGGGATGCACAAAGCAGGCATTCCTGTATACCCAGGAGCAAGCGCACTGTCTCAGTCACTGCAGCTGCACCCCCAAGCCTTGGTGTCAGGTGGAGTGAGTACAGCCCCCTTACTCTGCAAGCACCTTGACCGGGGATCCAGCCTGAGACCCTTTGGTGCACAGCCGGTGCTCCGACCCACTGAGCCATACTGGCCAGGGCTAAGAGATTGTTTTTAACCGTTTAGGAATAATTTCACCCAGAAAAGTTTCAGGAATAGAAAGAATTCTTATATGTCTTTTCCTCAGATTCATCAATTGTTAACATTTTACCACATTTGATTTATCATTCTCTGTATTTTTGCTTTTTTTTTTGAGATTAAGTTATAGATATCTTGTTGCCTTTCCTCTAAATACTTCATTGTGCATTTTTCTAAGAACAAGGACATTCGCCATTCACTTGTATAACCACAATACAGTGATCAAAATGAGGAAATTTAACTTTGACACAATACCGTTGTCTAATGAAAAGATTTTAATCAAATTTTTCCAGTTGTCCTAATGGTGTCCTTTAAATCAGGTTTTTTTGTTTGGTTGGTTTTTAAGTCTAGAATCCAATCCAGCATCACATATTGCATTTAATTTTTGTGTTTCTTTGGTCTTCTTGAATCTGTAACAGTTTCTCAGTCTTTCTTTGCCTTTCATGATATAGTTGACATTTTTGAGGCATACAGGTCATTACTTTATAGAATAAACTTACTAAGAGTTTTAAAAATCCTCAGTGAGTTCTGAATTTTACATAAGGTTTCTTTTACATCTATTGAGATTATCAGATGATTTTTCTTCTTTAATCTCTCTTTAACTTTCTGTAAAACTTCTGTTGCTGTGAAATATAATGCACGAATAATTGGATAAAATATACATGTAAAGTCTAAGGCTTTTTTATGAGGCATGTACCTATGCAGCCATTACTCAGGTCATCCTGGAAGTCTGCCCCCCATTCCTGGTCACCACTTCCTCCCCGCCCAGTAGTACCACCATCCGACTTACCTTTATCACATCCCTGATTTTCTTTCATTTCTAGCACTTAAGTATCTACCTTCAGATAATGTAATTTTATTTTATTGTTTTTGAACTTGAAATATATAAAATCCTGTAGGATATGTTTCTTTGTGGTTTTGCATATAGTTGCTTCTGATATTTATCTATTGTTTTCTCACTATTATGAACAGTTTTGTGTCTGAGTGCACATAGTAGGCATTTCTGGATATCCAAGAGAGAACTACTATGTGATGGGAATGCTAACCTCTACTTTAGTGACAGTGCTAGTTTCCCAAAGCGGGTGCATCAGCTTTTAGTCCTACCTTTGCCCCACAGTTTATCTGCCAATTGGTATTGTCAGCTTTAAAAATTTTAGCCAACCTGGTAGTGTGGTTGTATATATAATGATGCTGCTTTGTGATTTTAATTTATATTTTCCTTAGGAGTTTGAACACCTTTTCTTATATTTGTTGCACATCTGTATTGTGTGTGTGTGTGTGTGTGTGTGTGTGTGTGAAGTGCCTGTTTAAATGTTTTGTTGGGGGTGGGGAGATGGATTGTCTACCTTTTTTCCCGTTGATTTGTAGGAATTCTTTGTGTATCCAGATTTCAGACCTTCGTCAGTTTTGTGTGGTAACCATCTTCCCTCACCCTGCAGCTTGTGTTTTGACTCTCCTTGTGGTGTCCTTTTAGTGACCAGAGCTACTCATTTTCATGTAGTTACATTTATCCACATTTTCCTTGAAACTTAGTGCATTTTGAAGCTTTTTAAAAATTTCTTCCTCCACCCCAAGATCATAAACATACTCTTTTTTTTGAAAGAGTATTGCTTGAAAGGCTTTAGTTTTTTTTCTTTCACATTTAGGTCTATAATCTATCAGATTTTAATTTTGGTTCCTGGTGTGAAAGAGGTGTCCAGCTTCATTTTTCTAATTGTCATAATAGCACTTATCAAAAGTGCATTCTTTCTCCAGTGCTCTGGGATGCCACCGCTGTTATAGTCCAGTACTGTGTATGATCCCACTGTCCGGACTGTCCCTCTTCTAGTGGCCTGTCTCGCCCTTAGCCAACCAGATCTTAGCCTTAAGATTGAACTGAGCAAGACTTCCCAGCTGTTTTCCTTCTTTGCTGTGACTTGTTATTTTTTTAAAAATATGTTTTTTATTGGTATTAGAGAGAGAGGAAAGGAGGGGGGGGAGAGAGAAAGAGAGAGAGAAAGAAACATGGATGTGACAAACATCCATTAGCTGCCTGTTGCACACCCCCAACTGGGGATCGAGCCTGCGACTGAGCCATGTGCCCTGACTGGGAATCAAACCTGCGACCTTTTGGTGCACAGGATGGTGCTCAACCAACTGAGCCACGTGGGTCAGGGCATGACTTGTTATCCTGGATCCTTTACATTTCCATATAAGTTTCAAAATCAGTTCATCAGATCCTCATAAAACAAGACAAAACAAAACACCAGGATTTTGATTGAGTTTGCATAAAACCTATAGGTCAATTTGGAGACAGTTGCCCTCTTTACAATATTTAGATTTCCAATCCGTAAACATGATATATCTTTCCATTTATTTAGGTTTTCTTAATTCCCCAATAAAATGTGATTGTTTTCTCTGTAGAAGTTTTGTGCAGTTACACTGGTGTATTGCAAAGGAAATCGGAGACATATTATTTTATCCAGTTAAAGACTTCACTCTAACTGCAGTGTCATTATCACACTCGGCCAAATTAGCGATAATGCCTTCCAGTCCGCCAGTCTACTTACAGTTTTCCCTGACTGTCTCAGAATGTCTTTTTATGGATGATTTGTTTGAATCATGATCTAATTTCATTAGGTCATTGTGTCTCTGAAGTCTTTTTTTGTTTATAGTTTTGTCCTTTTGATCTTAAATTTCCTTAAATCCCTAATTGATTATCCCTCTCATCTCCCCCACATCATTTCTTTATTGGAGGGGTCATTAGTCTTGAGAATTCCCGCAATCTGGATTTGGTGGTCATTATTCTCACCTTGTAATTTAACGCATCCCTTTGTTTTACGTGTTTTCTGTAAACCGAAAATTAAATTTGGAGACTTGATTAGATACTGCTTCAAATCCTGTTTTTATTTATTTATTTTTCTAATTTTTTTATTTTTGTTTTTTCCTTTTTATTGAATTTGTTGGGGTGACACTGGTTAACACAATTCTACAGGTTTCAGGTGCACGGTTCCACAGCACATCGTCTGTGCACTATCGTGTGCTCACAGCCCGAGTCAAGTCTCCATCCATCACCACCTCCCCTGTGCCCTCCTCCACCTTCCCCACCCCTCTCCCCTGCCAGTCAGCTCACTGTTGTCTGGGTCCATGAGTTTTTCTTTTTCGCTCAATCCCTCCACCGCCCCCATCCAGCCCTCCCCAACAGCTGCAGTCCATTCTCTATCTATGAGCCTGTCTCTATTTTACTGTTTGATAATTTTGTTCATTAGATTCCACATATGAGTGAAATCATATGGTACTTGTCTTTCTCTGACTGCTTTATTTCATTTAGCATAATGCTCTCCAGGTCCATCCATGCTGTCACAAAGGGTAAGATCTCCAAGCAGTATTCCATTGTGTAAATGTACCTCAGCTGTTTTTATCCATTCATCTACTGATGGACAGTTGGCTGCTTCCATATCTTGC